AGTTTTACATGTTCTAGCCCTGTTTATAATTTTCCATTTTACTTTAGGTGTCCTATTTGTTTCCTTCAGATGCCAAAAATATTTAGATAGGGAAGTCTGATTTCTTTTATTTATATTATTGAAAGAGCACTTATGCTGCCTCCATCTATCTTTAAAATCATTCTTCCTGGACCCAATGTATATCTTATTAGTGCTAGGGCTTTCAGTGGATGATATAGTACATTGGTATACAACAGATTTAATGCAGCATTTATTTTCTAATGGGCAGTCTTCTAGGTTTCTACAATTACATAATTTTTCCCTTTTATTGTCTGATTTAAGTGCAGGGTTTTTATTAATACTATTCAGGCATGGGGGTTTGTTCAAGATCTTATTATTGTGTTTTTTTATTATACCTTCAAGATTTTCAGAGCAGCTGTAACTCAATTTTAGCATGTTCTTATTAAATATATTACTAAGCTTACTATTGGTGGGGAAGTGTTTATCAATTAGAGCTAAGAATTTCTGTCCTAGTTTAATACTAACCATTTGGTTGAACGGAGGGGTTTACCAAATGATTTTTCTTTTCCTGTTTTTTTTTCTTGTGGCCAGTGCAATTGTCTCTATAGTTAATGTTTGCGTTTTTATAACCACTATTTTTAGGGCAGTGTTATAGAAGCCATTGTGTTGTTGGAATATTTCCTTGTTAGTGGAGTTAATGCTAATTCTATTTTCTATTGATGAGGGTATATGTTTAATTATGGATGGAGGGTGGTTTGACTTCGGGTGTATATATAAAGGGTTAGCATTTGGTTTTCTATAAGGTTGGTATGTGTTGCCTGGTAAGTCTAGAGTTACGTCGAGGAAGTTTACCCTTTTCAAATTAGAAGAGACAATTTTGGAAGTGACTTTTCTTTTTTTGAAAGGAGATGTTGTTGATAATCTTGAGTAGGTAGAAAACCCTGCAATTATATTTATGCTCTACTTTTGTAAGGAGCACTATTTTAAAAAAAATAATAACTAAAATACTAAGGAATTTTGGATTACTTACCTAACCAGTTCCTTCCTATTTTCTATATATTTTCACACACACACACACACACACACACACACACACACACACACACACACACACACACACATATATATATATATATATATATATATATATATATATATCACACATAATGCTGGTCTTAATAAAACAGCGCTCGATGTATTATAATAGAGCTATTAAGTATATATTAATAAATATACATATATTTTTTATATTTTTAATTTTCTTTTAATTTATAATTTTTATTTTCAATTTTTAATTAATTTTTTAACTGTTATTTTTAATTCTAATTATGGTCTAGTTTTAATATATTACTGTTAAATAAATATATTCATGTTTAATAGGAACAAGCTCTCTTTAATTATATAATTAATAAAATAAATACATGAATATTCCCCATTCAAATATATAATTAAAATTTTTTTACATAGGTATATAAATCCCGCTTACACAATTTCAAAATAAAAAAAAAACAACTGTGTATTCCAGCACAATATATAACTACTCCAACATTGTGATAAGCAGATAGATTATAATTCAAAATTGTGTGACGGTCAGTTCATACTGAGCACCTGAAGATTGCGTATATATATATATATATATATATATATATATATATATATATATATGTTGATGCATGTTTCATTAAATAATATAGACAAGTTTTGACTATTTATTTTAAGCAAATTCCTTTCATATGGTCATAACATTATCATTGAAAGATGAAAGAAAATCACCATATTGATACATGTTTTTTACTCCTATCTAAGCTTTCAGTTTACTTAAGCCATCATCAGTGATGACAATAACATTACAATATATTAAACAATACACGGACATAGATAGGTTTAAAAAACATGCATCAATATGGTGATTTTCTTTCGTATTTCAATGGTAATGTTATTAAGTTTATCAGACAATAAATAGACAAAACTTGTCTATATTATTTAATGAAACATGCATCAATATATATATATTTTATATATATATATATATATATATATATATATATATATATATATATATGTATGTATGTATGTATGGATGGATGGATGTATGTATACGTGGGCAGCAACCTTTCTTTCGCTAAATATGACAGACAAGGAAGATTTAATTGTTTGGATTTTTTTTAGTTTTCCCACGTTTCTTACATGTCTCCATTTGGTGAGGATAGGGGTGTAAAAATTGACTATATTGTCGATTATCTCAAGTGATTTCCGCCAATTCTTTAGCCATTTTCAAGGGGTATTGTTTCAGGTATTGTTAAGTTCTCTTCATATTTTGACTATTTAACATGTATTTTATTTTTTTAATTGTTGTTTTAAATACTTGGCGTGGTGAGCGCGGTTGGTATTCTAGTGGCGCGTCTTTCTATATTTTTAAAAACATTTCAGCACTCAATTGCCACTGTTAAATAAAGTGAGGTTGATAGTAGGAGGGAGATGTTTTATATATGTTATGGTCCAAGTTCCTTGTACCACGGTGATGGTCCAAGGTTAGAACCAATGAAAGAATAACACGAACACAGGTATGGAATACAAAGATATATTACAACAGAAATATAATACAAAGAAGTAGAAGTATTAGTAACGACTATCAGATTTGGTTAAAGTGAACTATGTTGTCTCGACAAGTATCACTATTCCAATGTCCTTACAATATGCTCGCAATTATCTCTCCTCGTCTTACAATCTCCTCATACCTCTTGAGAGGCGCAGTATTTATAATGTCAGGAATAGTCCATTATTATTATTATCATGGGTAAGTTCCCATAACAATATACAATGCCCTTCTTATAGCGAGATGTTTCCGGTTATGTGGTTTATATATAATTTAGCGTTTTTAATCAGAATTTTTCTTAAGGGCCCTTGTAAATTGTGGATAGATAGATGTTTTTAGAGCACATTTCATTTCATAAGTGAAACGTGAGGCGTCTACTCAAGGAGGTCATATCCGATATAAGTAATTGATTTTTGATAACACAGTCTTGGACTAAGCAGTATATATATATATATATATATATATATATATATATATATATATATATATATATATAAAAAAAGAAAGAACAGTAAGATTTATAATCATGTGTTCTTGATATTTTTATTTTTTTTTATTTTTTACAAAACAATGCTCAGTGTAAATTTACAGAGCATAAATATTATAAATTAACTGATTTAAAAATATGGTTCCTTCGCTACACATGAATTACTATGTTTCAAAAACCAAAGCTAAAAACTTCAAATCTAATTATATCATTAAATTAAAACCATTTATTCTGTTTCATCTTCAAGCGAATTTTTGAATATATATATATATATATATATATATATATATATATATATATATATATATATATATAACCCTTACCCTAATCCAGAGGGCAAGTTTACCCTGTCGATCCGCGTAGAGTGAAACCATGTTAGGTTTGTCTGGCTCTTTAGGTTTACTTCATTTGCTCTACTTAGCGTATTGAGCACTTTGCTTAGTTATTTTTACTTTACTCATGTCGGAGGTTTTTTTTCTTTGGACTCTGAACTTTCATTCTAGACGATTATTTTCGCCATATGTACATGTTCTTAGTTCTTTCTTTTTTTACCATTTTTTCCCTTGGATATTAGTTTGTTCATTTACTAGCTAAAACACCTAAGGTTTTGCCGGAGGAGTATAGCTGCTTATATTTATAAGATTATTGGTATTATATATATATATTGGGATATATATCTATATTTAAATAAGATTTTTGTTGTACAAAATGTTAAGGAATAAGCGTAATTTAAAAGGCATATTAGTGTAAATGTTATAACTAAAAACATCCGGTTTCGTCCCAGTCTTATCAAGTTTTATTCTGGGAAATAAATGATTAAACGTGTAAATTAATTAAGGATGGGTAATGAGGAAAAAAAAAAAAGAAAAAAAAAAGATTCAAGGAGAACTAGAGACAGTAATATTCAGATCCAGCAAACAATCCCTCTATTTAAGCAAAGAAGTCGTGCGTGACCTGATATATAAGGACTCCCGGACCTTCAGATGAGAGTGAGACCTTAATAAAATAAAGAAACGTTCCACACTAAAATCAGTAATACAGCTCCAGCGATTAATAATGTATTGAGCAATAGCTGACCGTATTCAGCCCTTCAAAAAGTGTGGTTGGTTCTGCACAAAGCCTTCACTACTATAATCAAATCATATGTGGAAGTTGTCCGACTCTCAGTTCCTAGGAACTGAGTTACTTGGCCCTCATATAGCAAAAAAAAAAACAAAAAAAAAACGGTTGGAGAGTATATGTATGTGTGTGTGTTTGGAGATTATGTAAATAGATTAAATAGTTACAATATCTCATTTCAGAAATATAGACAGACAGATATTAGTAATAATTTTAGCTCTACTCTAATATTGAGCACTTTATTATGAAGAATTATGTATAATTTGTTTAATTACAAATTATACAATTTTATGTATATTAAATGATATCTGTACCTGAAGGTTGCGTTGTGCTTGAAACTCCGCGTCGTGCAGCCTGTGAGGAATGATATGTACATTTATTAATATCTCTCTCTCTCTAATTTACTCCAATAGCTTCATGTCTCGCACCTCTCGCCTGTGGAACTCCCTCCCTTTTCCTGTTTTCCTGATAGCTATAATCTCCAACTATTCAAATGTAATGTCAATCGACGTCTCCAGATGCCCTGATCTATCCCCTATCCTTCTCTTCATCCTTTCCTCTATCACTCCTATTTGCTCCCGTTCTAACTCTCTGTAACCCCTTGCGTGCTAGTATATATATATATATATATATATATATATATATATATATATATATATATGTATGTGTGTGTGTGTGTGTAATTTTTAAAGAACATTTGGAAGATTTGGGGGGGTAATAAATTTCCTGTCCCAACCCTACATTCAAATTAGCTCTTTATGCAGTATTAATGGACGCATTTCTATGAAGAGAATTAAAATGCTCCCAGTTATCTTCTCGGTCGTCGTCTTTTGCCGCAAGGAAGCGAATGTTCATATCGAACAAGTCGAATGTAGTCCTGATTCGCCTGTGTATTTTGTCGATATTATTTGCAGTAGTGGAAATAATACACGTCCCCTCTCCCTGTTTTTTTTCTCACACAACAACCGGCCAATCAGCGCGCGATATTCGGCGATAAAGCCCGATCGGCAGGACCGACTTCCAATATCCGGTTTGGGTCAACGGCAGGTGTACAAAAACCGGATGGTCCCGGCTTCCCCCTCTTTTCCGCAAACAATTTTATTATTTATTTACTTTTTTATTCATTTTTTTCTTTTCTTTTTGTGTTGCTTTCTCCGTCTTCTTTCTTTCTTTCTTTCTATTTCTAGTTTTTTTCCATTCTTTTCTTCTTTCTTTTTTTCTTTTTCCATTTGCACATATTTTGAAACTTCTCTTTTTCTTTCCTTTATCTTTTCCTTAATTTATTTGATGTTTCCTTCTTTGTTTACTACGACCTTGAAAAATCATCATCACTATTAGAGGTTTGCAGAAAATCGTAACAAAACCTTTCTATTCAAAACATATGGAAGGAAAGATTAAAGAATTTAGAATATTCCGGAAAAAGATAGAAACAGCCAAGCGTCTGAATTCCACAGTTTGTGAAGAAAGGTAATCGGACATTTCAGAGGTGATACCTTAAAGAAGACGATTGGTATCAGCAAGGGGACGTCTTGAAGAAATATCACAAAAATTACAGTGTTCTAAAAAGAAAATCACTAGCTGTGAGGATATTTACTTTTACAATTATCATAAATATGATTACGAAATTGACAAAGTCCGAGAATTGTTTTAAGACATTTTTATACTTTCTTTTTATAGATACAAATATTTAAGTAAATGCTCTGTTTATAATAAACAGTATTAAACAACATTTAACGGCCTGAATGTCCGAGAAAGTTTCATAGAAAATATGCATCCTCCGATAGGAATCGAAACTGTATCCTATACAGAACCGTCATATAGCCTGACGTGCCTTAGCCGATTGGGCCACAGAGGATCGGTCGGATAGCAAGGTCGATTTTACTGTCTTTAAACTAAAATCATCCATGAATCTCTTACGTACATTCATAAAAAATGTCTTAAAATAATTGTCGGACTTTGTTCATTTCATAATGTATGACGTCATTTGTTTACATTTCGATACGCATTGAGCAAATATGAATGTACGTGAGAGATTCATGGAAGATTGCAGTTTAAAAGCTGTAAAATTGACCTTGCTAACCAAACGATCCTCTGTGGCTCAGTCGGTTAAAGCACGTCAGGCTATATGACCGTATAGGGTACAGGTTCGATTCCTGTCGGAGGACGAATATTTTCTATGAAAAGGCCGGTAAATGTTATTAATACTGTTTATTATAAAACAGAGCATTTACTTAAATATTTGTATCTATAAAAAGAATGTATAAGCATAAAAATATCTTAAAATAATTGTCGGACATTGTCCATTTCATAATATATATATATATATATATATAAGAATTCATAGACTATACTTTAGTTATCTTTCTTCCAGAAATATCCGAATTCTTCTTTATTAAAACACAGTGGCTTGGGTATCTGTCTATATTTTTCAGATGAGGTGTTATGTACACTATTTACATTATTCGGACTATCGTCCTCATCTTTGTCGCCATGTTTATCACAACGTTTCAGCCGTTTTCTAGTTCCACGTGCTATGTCTAATGGATGGCTGTTGTCTCCTGTTAATTGCCCTCTAAGTTCTCCACCGTCTTAATCAGGAATCAGCACATATGCTAGGCCACAAACATTTCCTTAGCCGATCAAGCATTGTAATGAATACTATATGGGAGCCAGTAATCGGAATTCCAGTCGAATCCATTACATTCACTTACGTGCTAATACCCTTGGGAAAGGTATTAATTCCCCCCCCCCGTTATGGATAAATAGCAGAACAGACCGGGTTCTATAGCCTTGGGCTGCAACTGATCTACCGCAGAAAGAAATGGTAACCTACTGTGGTAAAAAAGAAACTGCCTCGTCATCTATGGGCAAATAGCAGGACAGACCGGTTTCTCTAGCCTTGGTTGGCAACTGGTCTAAGAGAAAGACAACTCTGAATTCAAAACCTGATCCTTCAGATTGAGAGTTGTGCTAACAACCTACTGACTTAAAAACTGCCTTGTTATAGAAACTGCAACGTCTTGCGACCTATATTCCTCAATGAATTTAAAGGCTTAATATAATATATATATATATATATATATATATATATATATATATATATATATATATATGATTGGTGTGAAAGAACCAACTCTGTAAACATGGCTTACTTGAAAACCTAAATAAATATTTTATTTGACTGTTGGCGTTTCGTTTCTTCACTTATCAAAACATAATCTAAGGAAAAGTCGTTACCATGAAACTCTGCTACGTATAAACGCTACAGTCAATACGAAAAAAAATAACAATTAATAATATTTAAAAGTATATCTGTACAGAAATCAGTGAGATCTGATCGAGTCATTAGCTATTCCTCTTGCTGATATCCGATCTTACAATTGCTAAATAGTCTTTTCTTTTCGTTTTTCTTTACTGACTTGTTTAGGAGTTCCTGAAAACTTTCTTTCTGTGCTCTCCATCTACACTATGTCATTTGCATATCTTGCGTTGTTAAGTCTGTGCCTATCATTAATAAATCCCGACTTATAGTTTTCTTACAATGGCCTCACTGTAATTGTTAAATAAATCCGTTGTGAAGACAAAAAGTTGTCTTTTGTAAATAAATCAAGTTTTCCTAGCAGTTCAAATAGTTCTTTCTCTCGGATTTTATTGCATATGTCCTTCAGTATTTTTATGACTCTTTCTGATTTTCTTCCCATCGTAAATATCGCATTTCTTGTTCCAGTGTCTTTATCGGAACTACAATATTCCTGTTCTATTTCCTACTTAATCTGGTACGCGCTTTATTTATCAGAATTCGGGTGATAAGTTTAGGTATTTGGCCCATTAATCTGATTATCCGAAGCACCTTGCATACATTTGTTCTAGTTTCTTAGGCATCGCTCTAAAGATGGATCTATTAAAGTCTTCCGGTATTTCACCAGCGTCTTATATTTAGTTTAATATTTTCGTAATCTAAAGCTGCCAGCATCTCTGTTATAATCCCATTTCCTCCTGCTACTTTCTTCCTGTTCATGATGGCCAGTGCTGATTTTACTTCAGAATTCAGTATTTTATGTCCTTCTATATTTTTGCGAGTTGCAGTTTCCTTCTTTTCTTGAAATAGTTCTCTAGAATTTATGTTAATGTGTTCTACTTCTAATTTCCAGTCTCATTCAATATATTATATTTGCTTTTAACTCCTCCAGCAATGTGTGTCATTCAGGAGTCTGTCGTATTGTAGTTTAGGCGTTGCTTTGGGTTTCTTTAATTTTCATAATTTTATTCTGAGTTTTCATATGTCTGGAAAGTCTCCACAGTTAGCACTTAAGTTTTAAAGTGGAAAATAGCCTCCCAGAATCTTTTATTGATTGTTGTGTAGTCGATCTTGTACTTTGTGTCACCTCCTGGGTTTCTCCATGTCTGTATACGTCTTAGGTAGTCTTGAAACCAGGCATTAGTTACTATTTAGTTAATTGCTTGGCTCCACTGGATCCATTTTTCTCCGAGTTCTTTATGTGTCCCTTGTTTAAAGTATTCAGATATTCCATCATGATATTTGCCAATTTCTTCTTCCGTGTTTTGAGCTGTCGGTGCGTATACAATGACTTCCACTTGAGCTTAACTTGAATCCTGTCAGACGGTTGACAGTATCTTAGGACGCATCTCTTCCTGTTGTTGCATAGTATTAGTCCTAATCCTCTTTCATTTTTCGCTTTTGTCCCTGTAGCCATCGATTATCAAATCCCTATTATTTGCGCACCTAGTTACACATGTAAACAAAATATTGGAATCAAACAAGATATTTATTTTCGCTTAGCTCATGTCTTGGTTTGTGGCAAGAGAAGAACATAAAAAAGAAGTCTTTTATTTATGACTGCGACGTAGATTTAGATTTTTTTTTCTCAGTAAGTTGAGCTTTTGCGAATTCAATTATTATTTGGACTAACGGAGAAATTTCAGACACTCAAAAGTAATTCGCATGCCTGTATTTAAACTCCAACTTTAACCTTAAATATATTTTTAAATCGACTACTACACGAGTATACACGGAATTTTAATCCTCTTATTTCCAATCGAATTGAATGCGTTTTTGTTTGCTGACGTGTGTGAATGTGTGTGTGTGTGTGTGTGTGTGAATGTGTGTGTGTGTTAATATGTGTGTGTGTGTCTGTGTCAGAAATTATTTTTAATAATATTTTCTTTCTCTTCCAGCATCGTCGAATCATTTCGACCGGAATGGTATCTTCACCGATAGAAAGAGATTTTGATTTTAGGATTTTTCTTTTGTTTCAAGGTCGTCATTTTTTTCATGTCTACGTGTTCCTTCTTCTTTCTTTTCTCTTTCAGCTTTCTTTAGAGTTCTTTCTTTTTTCCTCCCTCTAATTTCATTTGTCATTTTCTTTTTCTTCCTCACCTTTTTTTTCCTATTTTCTTTATTTGCTTTGCGTTTTTGTGAATATTCAAGGCTTGTTTCTTTACTCTTCCTTTTTATTCATATATCTCACCACTGCCATTACCCTCTTCTTTCTTTCTTTTCCCTTCTTTTTCTTTCGTTCTTTCTTTCTTTTTACATTCATCAATTTTCCTTCCTTCATTCCTTCCTTCCTTTCTTTTTATCTTTTTTGTTATTTAAATTCATCACATTTTCCTTTCTTTCTTTCATTCTTTCTTTCTTTCATTCTTTCTTATTCAGATTCATCAACACTTCCGTTATCACCTTTCTTTCTTTTTTCCTTTCTTGTTATTTACATTCATCATATTTTCTTTCTTTCTTTCTTTCTTTCTTTCTTTCTTTCTTTCTTTCTTTCTTTCTTTCTTTCTTTCCTCCCAGTCACAATGGCAGAAGAGTAAATCCTTCAAATAGGCCAATCCCTGCCAAATGAAAATCTGCCAACAATATTTCTTCTCTCCCACCAGTCAACCATTTTATTTCTATTGATTGTTTTACTTATTGCAGATTTTTTTTTTAAACCAAAAGGCGCGACACGGCTTAACTTACAAGTGAAACAGGTTGGCACTGGCCAAGACTAGAACATGGCTTCTGGAGGGGGGGGGTCGTATTTGCGGAGAGGGTGGGGGGCGGCGTTTAGAATCAGAGAAATAGCGAGAACGTCACATCAACACACGCACATACACGCACACATATATATGTTTAATGCATGAGATATTTGCGTATTTCTCGAAACATTTTTATGAAGAAGTGGAAGAAGAAGGAAAGAGAAAAAGAGACAAGGATTCAGAGAGAGAGAGAGAGAGAGAGAGAGAGAGAGAGAGAGAGACCTATCGACACAAAGTTATAGAGCGAGTGAAAGAGAAATAGAAATAGAAAGAGAGAGAAAGGGAGGTTGATACACAGAAAGGAATAAAGAAATAGAAAGAAATAAAAAGTTTGTTAAAAAAAACTCGACTTGATCCACTCCCAAAATTAGAAAAGTTTTAGACAGAAGAAAGTTTTATTTTTTGATTTCTTGTAAAAACACATCTTGATTGGTCTGAGAACTTTCCAGTAACTTTTTTTATGAATGTAGTTCAATAATACTTTAGCCTTAAACGTAATAAGATGAATTTTGATCTGAAATTTACAGTGTATAGCGTCTTAATTTTTTTTCACAATTGTATTGAGGGTAATGAAAAACACTTGGATGCAATAAATACACTTTTTGTAGGGGACCGGAGATGAAAATAAATATATATATATATATATATATATATATATATATATATATATATTTATTTTTTATATATATATATATATATATATATATATATATATATATATATGGTAATCCGTATGGAATTTCCAGCACGGTTTACATCCAGGGAGAGCTCTATGTCAAAAGACAGAACAAAATTATTATTAATTAACATATGAGAGCTCTAAAATATTTGTTTGTAGGTCTTGAAGATTGAGAGCTGCTGTTCTTAGAGCAAAAAAAAATTATCACCTATGGGATTTTAAATGTTTGATATTCTTTTAATTAATATATATATATATATATATATATATATATATATATATATATATATATATATATATGTGTGTGTGTGTGTGTGTGTGTGTGTGTGTGTGTGTGTGTATGTGTGTTGTGTATGTATATATATATATATATATATATATATATATATATATATATATATATATATATATCTGTGTGCATGTGGGGGGGTGTGGGGGTGAAACACTGAGACAGTCGAAAATACTTGAAGAAAACAAAATGAAAAATATAAACTTTGAACTTTGTACTTTTTATTCACAATATTATATAGAAAATGACACTCGAAATGCAGAAAAATAAAAAAAAAAACCCAGACAAACATGAACCATTAAACATAACAAAATGGATGGAATCTTGGTGTTTAAATATGTCTCAAACAACAAATATGGTATGTGCCCATTATGGTAATGGTGCTGTAGCTGAAAGTACTATTCGTAAGTGGCTTTCTACATTCAGAAATGGAATTTCTGATCTGGAAAACCAAGAACGTTACGGCAGGCCTGCAGTAGTTTATGATGACCATCTTGAAACGCCATTTAACAATATTACCGTTCACTCCACACGGGACATCGCAGAGATAGTTCATATCTCGCATGAGCGATTTAAAGTAATTGAAAACAATTGGATACGCGACACGGTCTGATGATTTAAGGGGAAATATTATGGGCCGGATTTCCATCAGTGATTCTCTGATAAAAAAAACGACCCGGTTTTTGAAAAGACCGATCACATAGAGAGCGAAAAAGTGCTGGGGAATTCGAAAGTCTGGTCTGCAATGTCGTGTGTCGCTGTTAGGGCATTGGATATAGCAAGCTCATCCCGAAAAATTAGACATTGAAATCAGACAAGAACTGCTCTCAAATAGTAGCAATTGATGAAAAGTTGAACAACGAGGAAAGGCAAAAATTCCGCCCAAATTTGGTACAGCTTGGATGTCTCAATACACCCACTGTACTCACCAGACTTTACACCATCGTGTTACCTTTTGTTTCAATCCGTACAAAGTTCTCTTAATGTGAAGAACTGTTGCTTGGAAATCTATAAAAGCCGCTTAGATCAAATACAAAGAAAATCAACGATATTAAAAAAGAAATAATCAGTAGGTATTCAGAATTATTTGTCCATATATTTAACTTATAAGCACAGAAAAAAGACGTTATTTATGAAAAACAGTTTTATGACGCTTCAGAGTTGATCTCAGAAGCGACTGCTCTTCTCGCTTTGATTTATGTTGGCCATCCCGACAACAGTGAGAGCCTTCAACAGGTGTTTGGTATTGGGAGACTGGCCTCCCTCTCGACATACTCTCTAGGTGTTCAGATGATTCAAATCAGGTGAAAGAGGCTACTTGTTAGGGAAGACATGATCATAAAAATGTCTCAGCCTGCCACGTGTGTGTGTGTGTGTGTGTGAGAGAGAGAGAGAGAGAGAGAGAGAGAAAGAAAGAAAGAGAGAGAAACAGACGAAAGGGAGAGAGAAAATAAGAGAGTAAGAGAGAGAGAAAGAAAGAGAGAGAGGAGAGGAAAAGGGAAAGAAAGAAAGAAAGAAAGAAAGAAAGAAAGAAAGAAAGAAAGAGAGAAAGTGAGAGATGTATGAAAATCCATCTCGTACTTGATCAGCCTCTTCAGCATCTTGACCCCGGAAGAATGTGGGAATAAGACGACATGTTTGGTTACTTAAGATGGCCTCGGGTATAGGAGTGATTTTTCTGATGGAAAAATCGAAACAGGCTAAACGTTTATGCGAGAGGCAAATTTCTTCTTTAGTTAGACTTATTCATCTAGGCCGGTTGTTATCAATTTCATTGTTTGAGAAAATGAAAATGAAAAAGGATAACACGTCAAAGTAACGCTTACAGTAATAACTCACGCACACACATGCGCGCACTAACACGCATACCCCACACACACATATATATATAACATAAAAAAATCGAGGCCTTCTATAAAGAGAAGGCCACATTTTCTAGGATTTACTCCAATTATTTCTTCAATGGCTTGCAAGATCCAGAAGCCCATGGGAACATTATACATCCTTGTGAAAATTAGTATGTACACATCCTTGTGCAAATTGATTGAAATAAAACAAATAATTCCGTTATTATTTACTTTTTTTTCGTATTTTTTCAAATCAAACACAACCCAATGCACATATTTGTACTTTGTATGTCCATTCCACGAAGTCGTTCCTTGCAGATTGACCACAGAATCTCGATTGGATTTTAAATCAGGTGAGTTTCCGGGCCTGTCTATAGTACTTAGATTTGCTCACTGATAAGGTTTGCCAGTGTCTTCGTGCAGCGTTACAATTTTCGTACGCTTCCTCGGAGTAACGTCTATCGCAGACAATGGCCGTAGGACAACTAATCAACAGATGAGACAATAGTGTCATGGCGTGATAAAAATCTGATGCAATCACGGACGACGCAATATTTTCCAAGGCCAAACAAATTTCATCATACACCTCGAAAACAGATTCATATTACTGAACACCAATGAAAATGGCCAAATCTGTAGAAAAATAGAAATTGATTGCATCCTGTCACTCTATTGGGTCTGAAACCGTATGGTAAAATAAGGGAAACTAAAGCAATTGTTTCAATTTATTCGAACAAGGGTAGTTCCACAGATGAGCTAAAAAGGTAAAATAGGTAGTTCCACAGATTAACTAAAAAAAAATTAATATAACATGATAACAAAATGCCGTAAACTTAATGAAATATAATTTATCATTAAAATCTTTGTTATTATTAAGAGGAAAGACCCAAGGGTTCTTTAAATAAAAAAAAAATGTCCTTTTAAAATGCTTGAAATTTTCGTGAAAAAATAAATTGACTTGGAAATTCTTTTGAAAATTGAATAATTATCGGAATTAAATAAAACTTTTCAGGATTTTATTCGCAACTGAATGAAATTATTTTAAAAAATGTTTAATTTTTAGAAACCTTTGTAAAAACATTTTTCTACATTTGTTACTCTTCCACCCATTTAACTTTATGAAATTTTGATAGCACTTAATAGTTAATTTTACTTATCAGAAGAAGTCCTTGGAGAATTTAAATCATCGATATTTTTTTTGTGAAACAAGACCAGCAATTACAGTAAATCCGCTCTTAATTGTAAAAAAAAAAAAAAAAAAAACGCAATAAAACGAAGACATTATTAGAAAAGCTTTTAATTGCTTTAATGAATAAGAAATATTGCGGCCACAGTTTTCCTAAGAATTTGTTTTCGATAAATAATGAATTTTTACAAAAATTAATTTCATTTTTTTAATTTTAAATCTTTTAGATTTATGCATTAATTTTTACCGGTTAGTTGATATTGTCATTAAGTAAAATCTACACTTACTAATCACAAATGGAAATGTTACAACAATTCAGCAACTTTCAATGTTTTTGTGTGTATAAACTTGCCGATTGTTAGAAATACGGACGTACATACACGACATTAGGAGAAAAAAAAAGAGATAATTATAGTAAATTTAAAGCCAAAGTGTCTAATGTTCAATAAAACAATATATTACGTAGAATGTATTCCTAAATTTTTAAGGTTACTGGGTAGATGAATACTATATGACAAAAGACACTCACGTTATATTCCTCAAGTAATTTTACAGATGTATTCACCATAGAAGAATTAGTTAAACTTCCGGTTGTCAGTCAAGTTGTGTATACCGTAAATAAACACTTACCTCCGTGTTGCAAAAAGAATTGTGCGAAAATTTGAACTAAATGTAAGTAATATTTATTTAAAATCAGATTAAGAATTTAAATAATTTAATAAATAAAGTTTCAGAAAAGTATATTTTATTTTTGGAAGATCTTTTTTAATGAAGAGAATTACTTTGTGTTGACAGATGACTAAAACCAGCGATTTCTAGCGATT